AAGAGTTATCCTGCGTTGGATTCCCAGGCCGACATTGTTGGTGGTGTTTATGCTGGTTCCCAAATATACGAAACTATCTACAACTTCAAAGTTATGACTGTCAACAGTGACGTGAGTGCCAAGTCGCGAGTTCGACGACTGTTTGTTTGCTGGCAGGAGATATTTCGTCTAGCCCTCGTTCATTGCCAGACTCATTTGCTTTGCTTCCTTGTCAAGTCTGGAAAAAGCAGAACTAACGGCGGTGGTGTTGAGACCGATGATATCAATATCATCAGCATACGCCAGCATACASTCTTATAAAAGATTGTACTTACGTGCTCKATTAAATTCTGCAGCTCGAGTTATTTTCTTCAGCAGCAGATTGAAGATGTCGCACGATAGGCAGTCGCCTTGTCTGAAACCTTGTTTGGTATCGAACCGCTCGGAGAGGTCCTTCCCGATCCTGACGGAGCTTTTGGTATTGCTCAAGATCAGTTTAAACAGCCGTTTTAGTTTTGCGGGATACCAAATTCAAACATCGCGGCATAAAGGCAGCTCCTTTCCGTGCTGTCGAAAGCAGCTCTAAATCGACGAAGAGGTGGTGAGTTTCGATTCTCCTTTCACGGGTCTTTTCCAAGATTTGGCGCATGGTGAATATCTGGTTGGTTATTGATTTTCCAAGCCTGAAGCCACACTGATAAGGTCCAATCAGTTTGTTGACGGTGGACTTTAATCTTTCACATAATACGCTCGATCGAATCTTATATGCGATGTTGAGGAGGCAATTAAAATACATATATACAAACACCTATCCGAATTTTGTAGTATTGCATATTGGTCATTATTTTGGATATTATTRTTATTGTTTGGTCAAATATTTACTTGTTAGTTTTAACAAAAAAGTACCTAATGGACATAAAATAGGAAAAAAGCAGACATATATACAGCTTCGATTTTTTAATTAACAAATATTCWAATTTTTCTAACATTTTTTTCTACGGACATTGCTTTTATAGACTACATTTTCAAACTGTCAAAACTGACCAGTTTTGTGTAAATTCAACACTAATGTAAAATCACTGTGGTAAAATATGCGAATTTATAAATTATTGATCCATGTTTTCTGAAAGTTTTTCAAAAATACGTCTATATGTCGAAAATAAACAGTTATAGAATGAACTATTTCTCAGATTACATTTTTAACTATACAGTAAAGCATATTTCTTTTAAGGAAGGATAAAAACATGCTCTTATGTAATTTACATTACAACACTACATTCTCGACCTTCGACAACGCTGTCTCCTTGTTTAATGTGCTGAATATAATATAATTATATATAATAGATGATATATAAGACTGAGCGCGTCCGTCTGTCTGTAGATATGCGATCTAGGTTTTCAGTTTTTAAGATATCGCACTGGAATTGTGCACACCTCCTTTGGTGTGTATCTTGGAACAAATTCTCTAGATCGATCTGGACTGTAAATTATAAACAAATTGTTATCCGCAATATGAAATTAACAAGAATATACCATACATTGAACTGCAACTAGTAAGAAAATAACACCAATAAAAAAAGATTTTTGTGAGTTTATTTTTAGTTGTCGCAACCACTTAATTTTTAAAAAGTTATGGGGAAACTTCCCATTTTAACTGGGTATCTAAATATTAATTTCATTAACATGTCTTCTAGAAAAAATTAATGTAAAATAAATTTTGTASAAAAGAATACCTTTATAATACATASTTCATTAACTTGCTTTATTTCAACTTAACAGGTGGTTGATTTTCAAATGGCTCATGAAGAAATTTTATTAAAACAGGAAGAGAAGCTTCGAAACGAATTGGAAGAGGAAAAACGCGCAGCTTTGTCACGCATAGAATTTGAACGTGCGGAGAATGAACGTAATTTTAATGAACGCATGCAAAAACTGGAATTGGAGCAATTGAAATATAAATGTAATAGAGAAATACTCGAAACGGAACGAAAAGCATTTCAAGAAGAAGCACAAAATAATACTGACAAAACTCCTGTAATTACACCTTATACYCCAACTTTCAAATCAAATTTGCTTGATGACATTAATAATATTATGCAAAATCCTAGTGATAAGAGTCTGCATAAAACACAGCTAATGGTAAGTTTTATATCTGGCAATCCAATTTAAATTTATACATGATTCAGTTTACACTTTTATATTTATGTTTGGAATTTTAAAACTAACGTCTTCTAATTGTATTTACAATTGCATTTCGTTTCGTTTTCAAAGTCGGCCAGCAAACTCACGATACTTATTTAATTGATTGTACATATTTGTTTAGGTCAAAAAAGTACAATTATTCAAAATGAAAATGATAAACTTGTCTAAGTAGACTAAAGTAGATTATCATACTTACGAACAAAGCAATGTACACAGTCTAATAATAATAATAATAGCTATTCAATGAAAAGAACACACAAAAACAGAAATCTAAACATTTTAGACTAGAAATCTAAACATAGTGCGTGAAAATAAACTGAAACAAGTAAGAAAGAACTAATGTCGGATGTAACCGAACACTTTATATTGTTGCAACTTGCACACATAGGCAGGCGGACGTCACTGATCATTTATATATAAATATATATCTTGATTAGTTAGGTGATACGAACAACCCAATATTCCCATCTCGTTAAGTCCATTTTTAACTGTTCGAGTTAAAGTATCATTACTAAATGATTTTTTCAACTGTATTTTAATAACGGCTGTGCGTTTTAATCGGTCTTGTAAATTTGTTACTAGGTCAGGACGGTCTTCTATTATGTTAGTACTTCTTTTTTCCTAAACTTTTTCGCCAGTTTTACGATATTTTTCAAAAAAAAAAAAACGTCATACTGAGCTTTCGTTAAAATTTATTTGTGCTGCGATTTTAAGTATAGCCTTGTTTTGATCAGTCAACGATATAATTGTAGCTTTTTGTGAGAGAGAAAGTTGCGTTTGCTTAGGCATGGTTTAGTTTTATTTATCAAAAAAAAGCGAACAAACGAATGCTTTGAAATTACGAACTGTTTCAAAATCTTTAAAATAAAGTTTTCACCCGATTTTATCCAGTTTAGCCACAAAAACACATTGTTATTAGTAGCATCGCAATAATTTCCTACATTTGCGTAGTGCATGTGGGCAAAAAAAGCATCGCAACCCATTCGCCCAAATTTTTTTTTATGTTGGTATAACCTAAAAGCTGTGCCAAATGTCGCTTCAAAAAAATCATAGTTCTTTGTTTATTATTTTTCTTAAATACATGAAGTGCATTCGGCAACATGTTGCAACAGGATAGAAAATTTTTATCTAGATTAGATCTATTATGCTCTGTAGCAACATGTTGGAGTGTAAAACGAGTAAATTCGTTTGTGATGTTCTGCAAAACGAGAAATTTGTTAATCCATCTGATACTAATAACAAAATTATTGGTTTTTGCCTTTTACTGGTGGACCAGGTGTTTTTAATTTTTATTTATGAGTTGGTCCCAGTAGATAATTCCTTCAGCCCTGTATCGGTTTCGCACTCCTGTATAATGCGCATCCTCAGAGACGCCGCAGAGTGTGTACCGAAGACCCTATTTCTGCTGTGAAGCAGAATATCGAAAACACTCGAATAAGTTAATCCGCCATTGATCACAAAAATTAGCAATTTTCCCATCAACTTTAGATCAAGATCAAGATCCAACTCAWGCAATAATTGAAATCGAATGACCATGAAGTGCGTTTCATGTTCGGCGAATGCAACAAACACGATCCCGATTTCCCAAAAAAATTTCGTTCAGCGAAGAAATCCTTTTTAGATAATAAACAAAATTGTCCCATTCGCAGTGATGATAATCCACAARCCATTGTAAAGACACAGTTTTATTCTTAAAAAATCACTGTTTGGTGGGATCTTTGGTCAGAGGGAATAATTGGTCAATATTATTACAGTCAACGGGGAACGCAATAGAGTCGTGATTGTTTGCTTTTTCGTGTAGGAATTTCGTTCAAACAAAATAGCGCCCGAAATCATATTTAAAGCATAAAGTAAACATATATCTCTAATAAAACATAATTCCTGGCCGTAGAATTTAATTATATGTGTTTTATTTCTTCCCGAAAACTTCATGTTCAAAAAAACAACCTTCACATTAATCTCTGTACCGTATACCTTCCAAAACGCATCGACTTTTTGTCTCCCTTCATAAAGCCCCGGTCCATGTCTCTATGAGCTACCTTGAATCGAATAATAATAATTCACTAATTTTTTTGATTTTCTTCAACTGTCGAAAATAGGAAACAGAATTAAATTCAGAAACATTCTTGCCTCATGAACTGAACTTTGTTAAAGGGGGAGCCCGCTTTAGAGGCTTCAAATAATCGATTTTCTTGAGGRCTTTTTTGAGAGAGAAAGAAATAAGTGATTAAAGCGAAAACAAGATTTTTGGATACGAAATCTTGATATTCTGCCTATGGCAAGCAATTGCCCGATGCATCTCGCATGTGCATTTGTCGGATGGCGGGCAGGATGCAGGTCGCAATTTCTATCGGAAACAAAAAATTCAAAGATAATCATATTTTTTAATAATTTATCTTCTGGTTAAACTAAAAAATTCCAAAAAAAAAGTGTAAAATTTTCAAAATTTTTAAAAATTTAAACTAAAAGTTGTTGTTTAAAACTATGTTCAAACTTGACTTTTCTTAGTTTTTTTAGTTTAAATAGAAGATAATTTAACGCCGAAAATAATAAACTTTGCCCCATTTCACACGACGTTTAGTTTTTTTTCTATTATGCCCGCCAATTAAGAAGAATCGTAAAAATGAGAAACCGAGAAATTGTGTGTCATGCTTTTCGCTTTCTATCCAATCGCTCATATAATATATCTGCTAGAATCTCGGTCACTATTTTCCTTCTAGCTTCGAAAATATTTCGAATTCAAAATCTAAAACTTTGGGGACATATTCTTAGATTGTTTTTAAAAAGATTTAAGCAAAAAAAAATCGTTTTTTTATAGGCTTCGAAAGCAGGCTACCCCCTTGAGGGTTCAGTAGAGTAATATTTTTTTAATTTTTTTTTTGTTTGCGTTTTGTGTTCCCTTATACCCTTAGAATTAATGTAGAAATTATCATTGGAAGGTTTCGAAAAAGACCCAAAAATAATAATACCGCTCGACGTTCGGAGTGCACACCTCAAACTTTAAACACGTTTTTCTCAAAACAAACTTTTTTAACACGTTGACTGCCAACTGCCAACGAGATAACTCGTAGTATGGAAGCCAACTACGAGTTATCTCATACTACCTAAAACTACCACTTTTTGTGTAGCTAAGTAAGTAAAACCGTATTATAATAGTGTTACTCAGTTCAAAGGGGGCAACCACCGTGTAAACACGTCCCGTGACCTTTTCACGCGTTCTTTTCCTCTTTGCGACCGACTACGATAGTCGATTCAGTTACCGCAGCTCCTTAAAGTTGTAGTTGTTAGTTTATTAGTGTAAACATAAAAAAAACAAACTCAGTGCCGTAGTTATCATTCGGCACCATAAACGGGGCCGACCCCCCCGAAAGCAATAGGTTTCGGTTACTCGATCCCGATTTGCAACGTCCCAACAAACGACCAAAATTCAGTAACTTTGTACCACTTCCCGCGCCAAAACATAATGACGACCATATCCCTCGGTTCTTAGTGGCAAGTGCCATCGATCCAATTGTAGATGACAAAATCCGTCCATTATCATCATATAATGTATTTCAAATCGAAAGGGGTTTAAAACACATTTGCGGCGATAACACCGTTGTAACGGAATTWAGATCCGGTGACCTCCTCCTATAAGTCGAAAATGCGAAATCGGCCGAAAAGTATATCAAAGCAACTCACATAGGCATTATACCTGTAAAAATTACCTCTCACAAAGGTCTTAACACCACGCAAGGCAGAATATTTTCCAGAAACCTAATCAATCTCTCCGAAGAAGAATTAGTAGAAGGGCTAGGAAACCAAAAAGTGATCGAAGTAAAAAAAATCATGCGCAAAGATGGTGACGCACTAATCTCTACCGGTGCTGCAATTGTGACATTCGATCTAATCCGTAGACCAGAAATCCTTAAATTAGGATGGGAATGGGTTCGTGTGCAAGAATTTATCCCAAATCCGATGCGGTGCAAAACCTGTCAAAGACTCGGTCATACCAAAAATAGATGTCGAAATATTGAGCTATGTAGCCAGTGTGCAACCTCTCCG